TCCACATCTGGAAACTGGTGGTGGGGCTCTGTGCTCCCCAGCACCCCTTCTGCCTCTAGCTAAGGTGGGTAATATGGTGGGGGTGGGAGTGGAGAGGAAAAACTGGGCCCGCATGGTGAGCCATCGTCTGCCTCGGGGCTCCAGAGTCAACGACCAGAGTGCCTCTCTCCTTCTTAATTTCTCCTTAAGAACTGGTGGCTGGTGGGCAATGAGTGAGGACAGCTTGTGAAGGATTCCTGATAGTATCAAAAAAGAAAAAAGAAAAAAGGACACAATTAAGACTGAGGTATTGGGAAAAACAGACTTCCCTTGCTTCAAACAAACCCAACATATGGGGTGACAAAAAAATCATACTGTCCGTTATTTACGGGCTCCCTTGCAAAGTCATGTAATTGTGAACACTCGGCGAGTCTTGCCGGGCCCCAGCCGTCTCACTGGTCTGATCCCATTTGATCCTCGCTATGTATAAGGCAACGCTCGTGGCTGTAACAAACTGGAGATGTCAGTGGAGGGACACAGTGGCTGGGTGTTTCTTGCTCATGTCACACCTGAGGACAGGTGACCCTGCTCTACCCCACACAGTGACGTGGGGCCCCACCAGCATCCATACTGTGCTGCCCCTAGGACACTAGCGCCTTCTGCATCTAGGTGGAAGAGGAGCGAGAAGCCTTCTCCAGAAAAGCCCTCCCAAGGAAGTGCCATCCACGTGCCCACGTGGCCCCTGGGACGCGGGGGTTCTGGGAGATAGGGTGCCAGGCGAGGCAGCCATTTCCCGGAGGTCGCCCTGCACCATGGACGGAGCAGCACTTTTCACGGCCTGTTTCCCCTTTGCCAGAGGAGGAAAAGTAAGACCCAGAGACCCTGGCCCTGGACTCTCCAGACTCGCATGAATTAAACTCTTAAGGGAACTCAACAGTGCTCGCTCTGTGAGTTCAAAGCCCTCACAGTCAGCCATGAGGGTGTTCATTTTAAATAAACAGTTGATTCTTTCAGCTGTAAAATCCTTGAGAGCAATTCTCCCTCTGCCCACGATGCCCGAGATGCCCAGCTGGGCAGGTGTGAGGCCACAGGGCTGCCGTCCTGATGCCAGGCAGGCATTTTGTCTTCAGTGTTTCATCCACTTGGAGAAGCGATTATCCCCAGAAAGTTGACCCACGTTTTGGGCTCCAGCCAGAAATCAAGGCATGGTACCATCTGTAAGAGATAAATAAATCAAAATATCATCAGCAGATAAGTGTGTGCCATCTGCTGCCCTGTCAGTTGAACTGGCAGAGGCCTCCGGAGAATTCCAAGGAAGCGCTTGCCAAGGCTGGGCTCCCGCCCGGAGAGTGAGAGGAGAAGCTTCTCGCCAGGTCTGCTGGCATTTGTCTTGACTCCTCGCTCCCGGGACTCACTCCTTGGTTCCGGCCAGCTAAGGAGTGTGAATTTTCGCTCTTGCCAAACACTTAAGATCTTTCCTCATCGGCCACATTTGTTGGGGGGCCGGGACCAGCTCTCCGCTGCCCTCCCAAGTTGAAGGCACCTGCTCTGTGAAAACTAGCCACGCGTCTGCCAAGAGCTCGGAAGCGGCCGACTTGGGGCTCCTGGGGTGGGCACTTGGATGCAGCCACATCCCTTCGCCTGCAATATTTCTCCTGCTGCGTGTTTTTGGAGGGCATCCGGGACGTCCCCAGAATGACAGGATCGTTTCAGTACCTGCTTACCTGCTGGGAGCGGGTGACGGACAGTGGCCAAAGGGGATTGATGTCTCTGTGCTGGGTCGTCTCAATTTGAGGCCTGACTACACCCACCACTGGCTGTGTGACCTGAGACAAGGGACTCAGACAGCCCATGCCTCAGTTTCTTCATCTGTAAGATGGGATGGGGGCAGTTTGTCCACCCCGTTTGGCCGGGCACAAAATACGGGTGTGATGTGTGTCCAAATACCATTTGCTGGCTGGCTCTGAGAGAGCACTGTGACCTGCTCTCCCCGCAGCCCCTCACACTGGGACCCCCGCGCCCTCTGCTCACCCCGCACTCCACAGACACTCAGCTGCACCATCTGGTGTGGTACGGAATTAAGTCACTTTCCTCAGACCCAAGATCTGGGGACCCAGCCAAGGACACTGGGCCCCCAGTTCTCCTCCCTCTTGCTGCCCAGCGTCCTGCTGCCAGCCAGACCTGGGCCACTGCATATTCGTGCCAAGGGCAGCGGGGTGCCGGGTACTCGTAGACCTGCCAGCCCCGGGCATCTGCCTCTGGCCACCTCCCCAGATTTTGCCGGTTGCCAGGTTCCCCCCACCTGGTTAGGCTGAGGCTGCTTCTGGCCTGGGAGGCCTTCCAGGCTGCCGTGGGAGGAGTGCGACGTGTGTCTGACCTGGGATCCAGGGAAGGAGTCAGGAACAGCGCTTGGTTTTGGAGCCGAGCACGAGCAGGTGTTCTAACGCACTTTCATCTGTATCCTTTTTGCAAACTGGCAAGGCAGATACTCGGTTTCCATTTGGCAGGCGAGGAAAAGGCGTAGAGGTGAAGCCTTGTGGCTAGGCGGAAGCAGAGGCGGGATTTGAACCCGTCTTGTGGTTCTGAGCCCAGACATCTCCATTTGCCTTAAGAGCACACCCCCTTTCAGAGGGAGCCCCAAGAGCAGTGATGAATGACAGTCGGGGTGTGGGTGTCAGCACATCAAGCTGATCCCTTTGCAGATGTTGCCGGATTTAAATCTAATCGAAGACATCTTGTCTTATATTCATTACCTCATTTAGCCCTCAAGCAACCCCACGAGGCTGGCATGATCACCCTTGACTGGCCAAAAAATCCAACAAGCAAAGAAAACATTCCTCCTTGGCCCCAATGCTGGTGGCTGGCAGAGCTGGGGTGGGAACCCCGGTCCTTGTGAAGCCAGAGTCCAGGCTCTTCCCCAGGAGTGCACCTGCCAGGCTCCCCGGGCGGCCTCCACGCTGGCCTTCCTCTCTCTAGTAGACCAGACCGGGCAAGATTCCTGGAATCAGGTGCCAGTGTGAGCCAGAGGGGGGCAGTGTGACCGGAGCCTGTGCCTGCGTGAACAGGAAGCCTGGGCCCTGTGTGCCTGTGAGCCGGAGCTCCTTGGTGTCGGGATGGGGGTGCCGCTGACAAGCTCAACGCACGGCGCAGGGCCAGTTTCTGAGCAGCAATCCCTGCCCACTTCCCACCTAGGCTCAGCTGGACACCTCCGAGCCACAGGGTCCCCCTGGCCAGTGGCGAGGGAAGCCTGGGACCTGGGGCTGTGTGGCCACAGAGCACCCAAGTTCCACAAAGTGATGTTTCACTTGTCCTTCTGATCAAGGGAGTGACCCCTTCAAAGAGACATGTAGACACAACTTCTGGGGTTTGTTCAAACATAACTCTGAGGTGGCGGGTGTGTGGAGGCCAGACTGCAGTGGGGTGACAATTCCCAAACTGGGTGGGGACATGGTGTTCTTCCTATGAGGCTCTCTGTTGTTTTGCTGTTTATTTTTTTAAGATTTATTTATTTATGCATACAAGAGTTAGGGTGCAGGCCAGAGGTGCGGGGGATGAGAGGACACACCAGAGACAGCGGGGAATAGAACAGGCTGATTAACTGAAATACACAGCTGAGGGGAGCAGCGGGCGAGACAGGAGCGTTCTGCTGTGTCATGTGGGTCAGCTCCCTGGCCGGGGCTTGAACTCATGACCTGCTGCAAAGGCTGCTTATTGCTTCATAGTGCTGCACCTTAACTTCTTGCTCCACGAGGAAGGCCCCATGAGGCTCTGGTTTTGTAAAAAGATGGAAATGTCCCATAATAAAATCTTTCTGAGAGATTGTGGATTTGCCTGCATGGAGCAGGTGGTTTGGCTGGGGAATGTCCTGGGCCCCCTGGACAAGTCAGTCAATGGGATGATGGGAAGAGGCTTGGAAAGACCCAGGCCTGCGTCAGGCCCTGGCACTGCCACTTCGCAGCTGTGGGTGAGCCTGCATCCCCTCACCTCTAAGACGAGGACGGGTCTGTCTTCACCCAGCTGCGATGCGTCCAGGCACTGGGATGGCGCCTGCTGACTCGGGGTGACTCCAGGCCCGCAAGGGCTGTGTGTGTGGCAGGCGTGGGGCTGGGTGTGACCGCCCTACTGCTGCCCTTGGGGCCACCTCCTCTTCCCTGGAGAGGACAGACACCCTTTCTGTTGCCCCTTTCCTCTTAGACAGGCCCCAAAACACGCCCACGCCCAGGCTCACCGTGGCCTCCGGGAAGGGTGGACACACCTTTCCACTGCACAGTCGCCTCAGTCTGGCATGCGGCCCTTGATAAAGGCAATTTACAGGCGGTTCTTCCTTCTTTCTTCCACAGTCCCCTCTTCAGACTTTGAGGACACAGAGTGACTAAGACACATGGTCACAGAGCTTCTGTTTCCTGCAGAAACACCAGGTGTTAGCAGAACAGGTGCCTCTCCGGGGCGGGATCCTGGCAGCCGTGTCTCTGGTCCTGTGCAGACCCGGCGTCGCCAGCTCTCCTGATTCTCCAGGGGCAGAGCAGGCCCTGACCCCTCGGGCCCCTACGTGGGTGCGGCCTGGTGTGAGCCCTCTGCCTGGGGAGGGCCTGGAGCCAGGGCCGTGGCTTCTCGCCCTCTGTCCTGGGCATCAGGACCGCTTGGCGCCAGGACATCTTACCCGCTCGAGGCTTGGGGCGAGGCTCTCGTGCACCGTCCCTGCGTTCAGTTTCTCGTTTATATTCTCAACAATATCTGTGGGGTGCTCGCTGCGTGCCAGGGACTGTTCTGTGGACCCGCAGGAGAGGGGGCTGGACTGGGAGGCGAGAGGGAGGGGCCCGGTGCTATTGACTTTGCGTCTGTATTCCTTGGGGACACGGGCTTTTCAAGAGTAAGGCCTGCGGAAGATGCCCTTGGGGTCAGAGATGTTTGGGCCCTGCGCCCCACTCAGTCACAGGGCTCCTGGGGGGGGGTCAAGGCACAGCTTGGAACCTCATTTCCTTTTACATGCTGAAAACCCTCCTTTTGTTCTTATAGGTGAAAAATGTCGCAGTTTCATTGACCTGGCGCCAGCATCGGAGAAAGGTGAGCATACACCCCCCAGCACCCCCTTGCCAGCCTCCTCATCCTAGATGCTCACACCGGGTGGCAACCCCGCCCCCAGCTTCTCCTTCAGCAGCAATGCAGGATGCACCCGGCCCAGCCTCCCAGACAGCGTCTGCTGCACAGCTGCGCTTCTGGAGCTCCCAGTGAGTGCAGAGGAGCTGGAGGAGGCCTGTTGCCCCTGCCCAGCAGGTGGCCAGCGGGGCTCAGTGCTTCCCTCTTGTGTGTGTGTGGGGGGAGTCAGGTGTGATAGGCGTTCAGGTGAGAGGGGTGTTAGAGGCACTTTCTCCTGCTGTAGGATTTGATCCTGGGGGTGAGGCCAGTTGTCCTGACTCTTGACTCCCAGTCGCGGGGCGTCCAGCCTAGCTGAGCGGTCTCACTGGTGAGCAGGACCCAGCGGCCCCCAGAGTCCGAGCCAGCGGGGTGCTTAGGTACAGGCTGCAGCTTCTTCAGGGTTACAGCAGCCCCAATCCATTTATGTCTCATATGAAAGCTGGAGAGCAGGTAATCCAGGCTGGTTCTGCTCCCCGTGTCCTCAGGGCCTGGCCACCCAGCCCCTCCCCATCACCCTGTGGACATTGTCTTCAGCTCTGAAGCGGCTGCTAGAGCGCCAGCCCTTGCGTCTGCATCCTGTGCAGCAGCTGGAGGAGGGCAGAGAAGGGACAAAAGGTGCATGTCCACGCTCAGGGGCCCAGAAGTGGCTCCATGCCACCTGCTCACAGCTTGGTCACATGGCCACACTGGCTGTAAGGGAGGGCAGGGCCTGGGCCTTTGTCCCTGGGAACCGAGGCACTGGGGCCTGGCCGTACCCACGTGGCCCCCGCCACGGGGGCCACGGAGACTGCGGAGAGCTCTGGTCTTGCCGTCGGGTGGGGATCCCAGGCAGAAGTCCGGGCCCATAAACTCTCCACACGGGGGCCTTGGCCTGCGTGGCTCTGCGAATTCTCGTCCAGGATGTGTGGCCGCCGCGCCCCCTGCGGGTGGGGCCAGACTGTGGTTTCCTGCAGCATCAGGAGGTGGGGGGCTGGGGGCCACGCGGCCCGGCGCCTCGCAGAGGCAGGTCACGAGGCTGGCGGGGTCCCCGCGCGAGCAGCAGGCCGCGCATGCGTGCGAGCGCACGTGCGGGGCGCCGATGAGCTGAAGCTGGCGGGTGCGCGGGGCGCCGCCCGGAGGCGTCCGACCTTTATCGCTGCCCCTGTCGTGAGGATGGAGGGCCACACAGAGGCTGTGTCTTCCCGTTTTACTGGCCTCATCATTTTGCTTGCAGGCCAAGAACCTTCTGGCTGTGTACATAAAATGTTTACAAGGGGCTGAGTGGGCTGCTTCGCTGCCAGGTTGCAGGAGGATTTCCGTGGACTTTGCTGCCTCTCGGCACCCGGCACTCCCTCGGCTGGCGGGGTTTGGCCGGGCGGCCCCGGGACCTCTCTAGAAACCTCCGTCCAGGGCTCTGCGCGCCTGTCTCCCTGCCCTCACCACCCTGTGCTTTCACAGGTGGGAGCCCGGACTGCAGGAATGCGGGGTTCCCTCCCAGTCCGTGTGAGGTCACGTGTGAGCCCAGGAGTGCTCGCCCCCAGATTCTCGCCCCTGTGACTCTCCCCACCTCACCCTGGATCTGTGAACTCGGATGACACCGTGGCACGAACACAGTGCCGCCTGTGCCAGGCTCTGCGGGGAGAGCACACACCAGCTCGTTTCGTCCCCGCTTACAGCTGAGGGGACGGTGGCACAGCGAGCTGGGTGCCCAAGGCCTGAGCGAGGGTGCCTGGGCTTCAGCGGGAGGGTCTGTCTCAACCTCCTGGTTCCGTTGCTAAAAAGCCGGGCTTTCTGCTGTGTGTGCACACGGGCATCTGGAGGGCGGGCCCCTGTGCTCCGGGCATGGAGGCAGCTATGTGTGGGCACATGTGAGCTTGTATGTGCAGGTACACAGATGTGTGTGAGAAATGGGGGTGTTTGTGCACATGTGGACGTGGCGTGAGCGCCGTGAACGCGGCCCTCTGTGGGCGTGGGTGTGTGTGCCCGGTGTTCTGCCCTGCATCTGCCCAAGGCCTCTGAGCTGAGTCCAGAGACTTCGCAGGCCACTGCTTCCCTTCTCTTGCCCACCACTCTCTGCAAACACAGTCCGCCTTCGAGTTCTTTCCGGGGCACCTCCTCTCCCCTGGGTCATTTGCCAGCTGCTCTTGCCCTTTGCTCCTGACCCTTTCCCCAGCAAAATATCTGTCATCAGTGTTTTATCATGACATGCGTTTTTCCTAGTTTGCCTGGCATTCTGGTTTTGTGTTTCACACGGGAAATCTCTTCATTTTACACTAGCCTAAGCCACATCCATTTTTCTTCTAGATTCCTGCCATAATCTCTTAACTGCTACTTCTTTCCATTTTTTGTTCCCTGACTCACTTGTAGCCGAATGATCTTTTAAAAGCATAAACCGTCTCATGTGACTTCCTGGTTAAAAGGCCTTCCTTGGCTCCCACGTCACTCAGAGTCCAGTCAGCACTCTCGCTGTGGCCTCCAAGGTCTGTGGGGTCCCGCCCTAGACCTGGGGTCTCATGTCCTGCAGCCTCTCCTCTCCCCATACTCCAGCTCTCCAAAATCCTTACTCTTTTTGAGTCGGCCAAGCCAGGGGGTGCCTCAGGACCTTTGCATTTGCTGTGGCTTGCTCTTGAAGTGCTGTTTTCAGCTCTCTGCAGGGCTGGCCCCCTCTCATCCTTCAGGATTTGGTTTGGATGTCATGTCTTTAGGGGACACTTGCTTGGACAGCCCCTTTAGTGGACCTTCCTCCTGCAGAGTCTCTCTCCATCCCTTCTTTGTGGCTTCACATCACGTTTACTACCTGAAATGTAGTCTGTGCTGAATGAACAAAATAGGAACATTGATTTTCAGCTGGCCACGCTCTTGTTATAAAAGCTGTAATTCCTAAATGTGCAGAAACAGCTCCCAGAAGCCCACCCTCAGATATCCACTATTGGTTTGCTTTATCAGTCCTTGAAGATAAGGAAATGAGAGATGTGAATCGACAGACACATTTACATCTATGTGCATATATTATATGCATGTCCATGTAAGATGTCCATGTTTTTCATCTGAGTGCAGAGAACTCTTTTCTTTGGGGACAGTTAGTCCTGTGATAGTCCACAGTACAGAGACAGTCCCTTCCGAGAGCTGGACATTTCAGTTAGAGCCCTCACTCCACTCTGAGCATGCTGCCTCATAGTTGATCAACAGCCACGCGTGCAAGGAACGTGTGAGGGGGAACAGTGATCTCTTCTCCACCCCTGGACCTCCAGGCCTGGAGCTGCATGGAGCACCTCGGCAGGACAGGGGAGTGAGCCCTTTAACAAAGGTCTACTGAAGGCAATGGGAGGCTGTGGGTAAGAAAGGATTCAATATGTCCAGGCAGTTTGTGAAGAAGAAATGTGCAAATTCAGATAAACAGCAGTGTCTACAGGCGGGGAAAGTGAGATTGCAGAGAAGCCTCTCCATCTGCTTCCTCAAGGCTTCTCTGCCTCTCGTCACTTCATGAGAGCAAGATTCTTTGACCAAATAAACACCACCATCCAGATAATCTTCAGTCCTGGAATTGCTCCACGATATCCACAACAAGGTGGTGTAACAGGCTGCCCCAACTCAGGGGCGGTCAGCACTCACTTATTTTTGCTCAAGTCTGTGGGTTTGGCTGATGGAGGCTGACTTGGTTCCAGGAGGTAGATTGGGCCGAAGTCTGCATCGTGTGAGTCTGTTGAGGGGGCTGCGTAGAGGGCACAGGAAGACAAGATGCCAATGACACAGAAAACACTTTTTGGCGTCATATCTGCTAACATCCCGTGCAAGTCACACGGCCGGGTCCAACCCCATGGGGCAGAAACACATGACCCACAGGAAGGGTTGGGCTGGGGGGTGGGGTGAGTAGTTGCTGGGTATAGTCCAGTCTACCCTCTGGGTCTGACCACAGCTCTCAGGACTGGTTGGCAGCTGGTGGTACGGGAGCTGGTCCAGCTGGGTCTGCGGGCACATGTGTTCATCAAGGTATCTTCTGGTCATTGTCGTTCCAAAGGAATCTATTGCCTTCTCCAGCATTTGGGTGGCCATTCCCTCTCCCAGCACCCATGTGCGCCTGCCATTCCCCCACGTGCCTTGCAATCCGACCAACATTTCCTGAGCACCTGCTGTGTGAGTGGCTCTGGGCTGGGCCTCGAGGTGCAATGAGGTGCAATGAGGTGAAAGTCCCCCGCCTCCAGGAGTGGCTCACTGGGAAGCGAGCTAAGTGAATGCTTGCCAGGGCTCCAGACGAGGACTGAAGAACCCATCCTGCCCTGGAAAAAGCTGGGGGAGGAAAGGACGATCACTTTAGACCCGTACTGCAGGCGCTTAGGTTTTCTGCTCTTTATTGTGATAACAGGACCCAGTAAACATTTGTCCCAAACTGTTCGTCAAGGTAGGACATGGGGAAGGACCTAAGCCCAGGTGGAGCTTACTCTCACAGGCTGATGGGCTCTCTCGGAGAGTGAGTGAGCGAGCGAAAGCGCTTCTCGTGATTAATATTGGCCATCAAGACATGCCAGGAGCCTGCTAACTGCTCTTCCGGCTCCTGCTTCTCTGTCCTCGCGGGGTGGGACACACTTTCGGAAGCTGAGAGTGGCGAAGGAGAAAGTGGCTGAGTGCTCTCGTGAAGCCGGCTCTGCCCAGTCTCCCCGGCCCTCCTCCCTCCTCCTCGGTTTCCTTGTGTGCTCCATCTCCACCTGCCTTCCAGGCGGCTCCTTCCTCCCCTCCTTCAGCGAGCCCTGCTCCTCCTGCACCCTACTTCATGGGTGATTTATTCAAAGTGTTCTGACTACCACCTCCTTTCCTCTTATGACATATTAAAAGTTATTTTAATTAAAAATTAAAGTCAAGGGGCTTCCAGTCATCAAAAAAGTCCAACTGGTCAACCCACACCAGCCTTTTCTCTTCAGCTGATTGGTTTCCCCAAGAGGGACCTTAGTGTA